TTATTGATAAAAGTAAAAAAAATCTTGTAAAAGGTCAACTGAACCTTTCCAAATAATTAAAATATCATCGATGTATCTCCGACAGAGTACCAAGTTCACATCAAAAGTGTTGCTGGATCAAATGCTAAAGGTCTCCCAACTATCCATAAAAATATTGGCTTAACTAGGCGTGAACGTGGTACCCATGGCAATGCCCTTAATTTGTAGATGTCACGGCTTACCTTAGTTGGGAGTCTGGTAGGCAGAGATTTATGCTCACCCTTGCAATTAAACACAGGCCAAGGTGGTCAGGGAAGAATTCACCTGGCCTGTGAGTCTGTGCACACATGCTGTGCAGGATATTGCTACAAGTCGCAGTACAGGTTAGGACACAAGCAGGAGAATCGTCAAGGGTAAGTCAGAGGATGCCAGAAGTCAGGATACACGTTAAGAAAGCCAAGGTCAGGAACCAACTGGAGAACACTGGAATCACGAATACTAACACAGGAACCAGAGTCAATGAACTGACACTGCCCTCAGGGAGAGGCAGTGTCTTATACCTGGCTAATTGGGTCATCAGCTTCAGGTGGGCTGAGATTGATAGGTGGGAGCCACTGGTGAAGTCCAGCCCCCTAGTGCTGCAGACAAGTGGTGTCCGGTGCGGTGGTTGTGGTCCTCGGCGCAAGCTAGGAAGCGTCCATCAACAGGTGTCTACAGATTAGACAGCATCCAAATCCTCAAAAAGTGGAACGTGAAACAAATGCATAACTATTACACTGAACTAAGTCTGCCATTTTAATGAGGTGAGTAATTTAAATAAAACAAATCTTAATATTTTTTTTTGTCTTCGTGTATACCTCAGATTACCTCCAGTTTATCTCCACAATATCTCCTATCATGTAGCAACCAAGCTATATTAGCCAAGTTAATGATCACAACCCTTATAGAACTCTTAAAATCACCACCAACTAGGAATATTTAACACCTGGGTAGGCCTATGCTTATTTTCATACAATAGCTAATTAACCAACAATCAATCAATAGCAAACACCTAGCTAATCAAATCAAATGCCTTACTAATTGCCAACAAACCTTGTGCAATAAGTAAACCTTTTCCTATAGATGAATCTTACCTGTAACAGTAAAAAAGAAAACTCTTAGCAAAATCTTAGACAGTTGAAGATTCTGTAAAACACTACAGAATATCGCTAATCACACACTTTGAAGCAGCACTTAGATGTAGCAACCAAGCTATATTAAATTAGATGTCTGTTAGTTCACCATCTCGTCCAAATTTTGGAGGTGGTTTTATGCTGCGAAATTTGCTGGCACTTTTAAATAATAAAATAATTATAATAATCTATTTAACTTCTCTGAAATTCTAGAAAAAGAAAGTCTATCTTTCCTGGAAGGGAGATTTTAAATCAAACTCTGAGTATAAAGGTATTCCAAGGTCAGTAGAATCTGTTCATTCCATGTGGATTAATTCATTAAAGTTATGCAATAGGAATGACCATTTGGCAAAAGTAAATCAGTCAGTTACTGGAAATTCAGATTGCTTTGTTTAGTAGACAATCCAGTTTGTTACCATAGAGACAGTCCGATACAGGGCAAGAGAGACAAGACTTATCCAATACACAATCAGAGTCAGTAATTAAATATCAGTCCAGTTTTTGGTTAAATGGCAAAAGTGGTCATCCTCAAGACAATCCAATTTACAATGTAATATCAATGTTTCACTCTCACCATGAGGTTTTTATCAAGCCTGACAAAGACTTAATGATCAAAACATTGTTTGATATGTTTATTGTTCTAAATAAAGCTTCTACTTACTCAGCCACTGTGTTCCCGGATGTTTCTAAATCTAAATCTGACTGGGGAGGTTGTGCCTACTCATGTTCAGCTATTATGATGGTGTGTGGTTCTTGCCTATTCCATAGCAACAAAGTATAAGCCCAGAGTATAAAATAGATAATTTAATTCAAATAGAAGATGCCGGTGGCAAGTTAGATTTAAAGGGGCCTGTGAGTGCTGATCCTGTGGGATGAAGTTAGTAGCCACTGCTCCATTAAATCCAACACATTAACACAGGAACTTAAGGCACACCTTTATTAGACAAACAGAACAAAGGATACAGGTAGCACCAAAATAAATACAATATTGTGGTAAGTAATAAAAAATAAATGCAATATTGTGGTAAGTAATACAAAAGGTACCAAGTAAAAGATAAAAATGTCCTTTTGACGTTTTAAAAGTTTTCAAATGATGAATAAGTTGTCATCAATGGCATATGCAAAAGTGAAAATAGGAGACCAATAGTGCAGTATTGTAAGTCTATAGACAACATAAAACTAAAAACTGCCAACTCACATTTTTCAAAGCTATAACCAGCTCTCGGTAAAACAGCTTACAGTGATATTCCTTAGACGGTAGTTGTAGTGTAGTTTATATACAATTAAAGAAAAAGAAGGCCCATAGCGCTCTCTATATTTGCAAATATGTAATAGTAAAATGAAATGTACTTACAAGTTTGAGAGCAGACAAACCTAGGATACTTTTGATGATAGGCCTGATGTGTATGGGAAATAGGTTGCGCCAGGTACAAATAAAATAAAGAGATAAAAACACTTGAAGAAGCCTAATAGGGGGAAATGCGTTGTGATTTTATTATCATTTGTTTAAATAAAAGTAAGATTTTTTTAAACTACCTATTTGCTTTGGGGCAGTCTTTTATACTTTTATTTTATTTGTACCTGGCGCAACCTATTTCCCATACATATTCGGTCTATCATCAAAAGTATCTTAGGTGGGATTGTGGCACCCACACTGTTACCATAGAGCGGTTTGTCTGCTCTCAAAATTGTAAGTACAATATTTTTACATATTTGCAAATATGGAGAGCACTATGGGCCTTCTTTAATTGCATACATACTACATTACAACTACCGTCTGAGGGATGTCCTACAAGTGGGTAGGTTGATATACCACTGTAAGCTGTTTTACCGAGAGCTGGTTATAGCTCTGAAAAACGTGAGTTGGCAATTTTTAGTTCTATGTTGTCTATAGTCCATAGACTTACAATACTGCACTATTGGTCCCCTAATCTCTCTTTTGCATATGCCATTGATGTGTGATACCATTCCGGGGACATCTTATTCAACATTTGAAGACTTTTATCTTACTTATCATTTATTTTTTTATTGCTTACCACAATATTGTATATATTTTGACGCTTCCTGTATCCTTTGTTCTGTTTGTTCGATTCATCCTTAAAGATTTTGAGGGTTACCTTCCTATTCAGGTGTGCAGCCCCCTTGTGATCAGTTATTGTAGTGCTGTTCCACCCTTGCTTTTTGTGTTCTACACCTTTTATTATAGCATAACAATGTGCCCATCAGTGTCTCTTAAAGGAGTAAAATTTTAATTGATTTAAAGATACATGGAACAAAAAAGCAATTAGCTTAAAAACATAACGTGCTGGATGCATTCAGTCCCCATTGAGTTTAAAACGGTGCTTTGTATATTTTCCAAATCCTACACTTTGTATAGCGTTCGGATGTGAAAAACGCTGATTTTTAAACCAGACACTGAATGCTTCTGATTGAATGACACTGCTTTGGTCGGATGTTCTGAATTTCGGCTGGAGTTTGATGTTAGCAGGGGCGGACTGACCACTCGGGCACTTCGGTCATGGACCGAGGGCCCGAGGCAGTCAGGGGCCCGGCCGCACAGCCATGCTCCAGCTGGAGAGATCAGATCAGAGATCTCTCCAGCTGGGGCAAAAAAAATAAAATATCATTTCCTTCAATGGGTTGCTGGGGCCCCTGATGCAGCGCGGGGCCCCAGCAACCACCACACCCCCTCCCTCCTCCCATGAGACCTGGCAGCTTCTCCAGCTCTCTGCCAGGTCTCCTTCTCCCTGTCCCCCGCGGTGCTCTGTGTGATGGGAGAGGCGGGGACAAGAAGTGACATCACTTCCTGTTTACTCCTCTCACACAGAGCCCAGCGTGGGGAAGGAGCAGCAGCCGGGGAGAGAGCAGAGAGACAGGTAGGCTCTAGTCACCCTCCCCTCCCCCCCACTGTCACTAATCACACACCCCCACTGTCACTAGTCACCCTCCCTCACTGGCACTAATTACCCCCCACTGTCACTAATCACCTCCCCACTGTCACTAATCACCCCTCCCCACTGTCACTAATCACCCTCCCCACTGTCATTAATCACCCTCCCCCAATCCCTCCCCCACTGTCACTAATCACCCCCCCCTCCTCCACTGTCACTTCAATCACCCCATCCTCACTGTCACTAATCACCCCTCCTTCACTGTCACTAATCATCCCCTCCTCCTGTCGACTAATCACCCCCATCCTCACTGTCACTAAATCACCCCCCCTCCTCACTGTCACTAATCACCCCCCTCACTGTCACTAGTCACCTCACTGTCACTAGTCACCCCCCCACTGTCACTGTCACCTCCCCTCACTGTCACTAGTCACCCCCCCCACTGTCACTAGTCACCCCCCCACTGTCACTGTCACCCCCCACTGTGTCACCCCCTACTGTCACTAGTCCCCCCCTCCCGTGTCACTAGTCACCCCCCTCGCTGTCGCTAGTCACCCCCTCCTGTCACTAGTCACCCCCCCCTGTCACTAGTCACCCCCCTCACTGTGTCACTAGTCCACTGTGTCAGTCCACCCCACTGTGTCCCTAGTCACCCCTGTCACTAGTCACCCCCCCACTGTGTCACTAGTCACCCCCCTCACTGTGTCACTAGTCACCCCCCTCACTGTGTCACTAGGCACCCCCCTCACTGTGTCACTAGGCACCCCCGCACTGTGTCGCTAGGCACCCCCCCCACTGTGTCACTAGTGACCCCCTCCCTCACTCTGTCACTAGTCACCCCCTTCCTCTGTCACTGATCATCCCCTCCCTCACTCTGTCACTAGTCACCCACTCACTCTAGTGACAGAGTGAGGGAGAGGGTGACTAGTGACAGAGGGAGGGGGTGACTGGTGACAGAGTGAAGGAAGGGATGACTAGTGACAGAGGGAGGGATGGGGTGACACAGTGACAGAGGGAGGGATGGGGTGACACAGTGACAGAGTGCGGGAGGGGGTGACTAGTGACAGAGTGCGTGAGGGGGTGACTAGTGACAGAGTGCGGGAGGGGGTGACTAGTGACAGAGGGAGGGATGAGGTGACTAGTGACCATCACCCCCTCCCTTATTCTGTCACTAGTCACACCCTCCCTCACTCTGTCACTAGTCACCCATTCCCTCCCTCACTCTGTCACTAATCACTACCTCACTCTGTCACTAGTCACCCTCTCCCTCACTCTGTCACTAGAGTGAGGGAATGGGTGACTAGTGGCAGAGTGAGGGAAGGAAGGGGTGACTGTTGACAGAGTGAGCGGATGACTGGTGACAAAGGGAGGGGATGACTGGTGACCGAGTGAGGGAGGGGGTGACTAGCGACAGTCAAGTCACCACCTCCCTCACTCTGCCACTAATCACCTCTTCCCTCACTCTGTCACTAGTCACCCCCTCACTCTAGTGACAGAGTGAGGGAGGGGGTGACTAGTGACAGAGTGTGGGAGGGAAGTGGTGACTAGTGACAGAGTTAGGGAGGGAAGGGGTGACTAGTGACAGAGTGAGGAAGGGGGTGACTAGTGACAGAGGGAAGGGTGACTAGGGACAGAGTGACAGTCACCACCTCCCTCTCTCTGTCACTAGTCACTACCTCCCTCACTCTGTCACCAGTCATCCCCTCTAGTGACAGAGTGAGGGAGGGGGTGACTAGTGACAGAGAGAGGGTGTGACTAGTGACAGAGAGAGGGAGGGGGTGACTAGTGACAGAGTGAGGGAGGGAAGGGGTGACTAGTGACAGAGTGAGGGAGGTGGTGATTAGTGACAGAGGGAGGGATGGGGTGACTATTGACAGTCACCACCTCCTTCACTCTGTCACGTGTCGCCCCCTTCCTCACTCTGTCACCCCTTCCTTCCCTCACTCTGCCACTAGTCACCCCTTCTCTCACTCTGTCACCCCCTCACTCTAGTGACAGAGTGAGGGAGGCTGTGACTAGTGACAGAGGGAGGAGTGACTAGGGACAGAGTGAGGGAGGTGGTGACTAGTGACAGTCACCACCTCCCTCACTCTGTCACTAGTCACCACCTCACTCTGTCACCAGTCATCCCCTCACTCTGCCACTAGTCACCCCTTCCCTCACTCTGTCACCTGTCACCCCCTCACTCTAGTGACAGAGAGAGGGAGGGGGTGACTAGTGACAGAGTGAGGGAGGGAAGGGGTGACTAGTGACAGAGTGAGGGAGGTTGTGATTAGTGACAGAGGGAGGGATGGGGTGACTAATGACAGTCACCACCTCCTTCACTCTGTCACTAGTCACCCCCTCCCTCACTCTGTCATTGTGTCACCCCCTCTCTCACTCTGTCACTAGTCATCCCCTTCCTTACTGTCACTAGTTACCCCCTCCCTCTCTCTGTCACTAGTCCCACTCTCCCTCACTCTGTCACTAAAGTGAGGGGGTGATTAGTGACAGAGTGAGGGCGTGAAAGGTGACAGAGGGAGGGGATGACTAGTGACTGAGTGAGGGAGGGGGTGACTAGTGACAGAGTAAGGGACGGAGGGGGGTGACTAGTGACAAAAGGAGGGAAGGAGTAGTGACAGAGGGAGGTGGTGACTAGTGACAGTCACCACCTCTCTCACTCTGTCACTAGTCACCCCTTCCTTCCCTCACTCTGCCACTAGTCACCCCCTCACTCTAGTGACAGAGTGAGGGAGGGTGTGTCTAGTGACAGATTGAGGGAGGGGTTGACTAGTGACAGAGTTAGGGAGGGAAGGGGTGACTAGTGACAGTGAGGAAGGGGGTGACTAGGGACAGAGTGAGGGAGGTGGTGACTAGTGACAGTCACCACCTCCCTCACTCTGTCACTGTCACCCCCTCCCTCTGTCACTAGTCACCCACTCCCTCCCTCCCTCTGTCACTGGTCACCCACTCCCTCCCTCCCTCTGTCACCAGTCATCCCCTCACTCTGTCACTAGTAACCACTTCCTTCCCTCACTCTGCCACTAGTCACCCTTTCCCTCACTCTGTCACCTGTCACCCCCTCACTCTGTCACTAGTCACCCCCTCACTCTAGTGACAGAGTGAGGGAGGGTGTGACTAGTGACAGAGAGGGAGGGTGTGATTAGTGACAGTGAGGGAGGGTGTGATTAGTGACAGAGTGAGAGAGGGTGTGACTAGTGACAGAGAGAGGGTGGGGCTGACTAGTGACAGAGAGAGGGAGGGGGTGACTAGTGACAGAGTGAGGGAGGGAAGGGGTGACTAGTGACAGAGTGAGGGAGGTGGTGATTAGTGACAGAGGGAAGGATGGGGTGACTAGTGACAGTCACCACCTCTTTCACTTTGTCACTAGTCACCCCCTCCCTCACTCTGTCACTGTGTAACCCCCTTCCTCACTCGGTCACCCCCTTCCTCACTCTTTCACTGTGTCACCCCCTTCCTCACTCTCACTAGTCACCCACTCCCTCCCTTACTCTGTCACTAGTCACCCCCTCTCTCACTCTGTCACTAGTCACCCCCTCTCTCACTCTGTCACCAGTCATTCCCTCACTCTGTCACCAGTCATCCCTCCCTTCCCTCACTCTGCCACTAGTCATCCCTTCCCTCACTCTGTCACCAGTCATCCCCTCACTCTGTCACCAGTCACCCCTTCCTTCACAGTGACAGAGTTAGGGAGGGAGAGACTAGTGACAGAGAGAGGGATGGGGTAACTAGTGACAGAGAGAGGGATGGGGTGACTAGTGACAGAGGGGGTGATTAGTGACAGAGAGAGGGATGGGGTGACTAGTGACAGAGTGAGGAAGGGGTTGACTAGGGACAGAGGGGGTGATTAGTGACAGAGTTAGGGAGGGAGTGACTAGTGACAGAGAGAGGGATGGGGTGACTAGTGACAGTCACCCCCTCCCTCCCTCTGTCACTAGTCACTACCTCCCTCTGTCACTAGTCACTACCTCACTCTGTCACTAGTCACTCCCTCACTCTGTCACCAGTCATCCCCTCACTCTGTCACTAGTCACCTCTTCCCTCCCTCACTTTTCCACTAGTCACCTCTTCCCTCCCTAACTCTGTCACTAGTCACCCCCTCTCCATCCCTCTGTCACTAGTCACCCCCTCTCCATCCCTCTGTCACTAGTCACCCACTCCCTCACTCTGTCACCAGTCACCCCCACTCACTGTGTCTTCCCCTCACTCTGCCACCACTCAACCCCTCCCTCCCTCACTCTGCCACCAGGTACCCCCTCACTCTGCCACCTGTCACAACCTCCCACACTCTTCCACCTGTCACCTTCTCCCTCACACACTCTGTCACCTGTCACATATGCATTCACACAGACACTATATACAAAAAAGCACATGTAGTCATCCAGACATGCACAAGTGCATTCACACAGACTCAAATACAAACATGCATTGATACACAGGTCTTCGCAATATACACATCCAAAGGAATGCCGTTTTATGAGTTATATTTAACATTTATTTAATGCACATATATTTGGCCTTCAAAGAGCCTGGGATCTAATTTTGCCCGGGGGCCCTAAAGGCTCTCAGTCCGCCCCTGGATGTTAGTAGATATGAGAATTCTGGTAAGAATTTTTCTTACAATTTTTCATCTGGACAGAATCCTGTGTTCAGTGAATAATACTGCTAGCATATGCCTCAACTTTTGTCTCAGTGAGTACTTTAGATTCAGTTGTCTATAAGTCACAAAAATGTAGTTTAGAAAGACAAATAGCCTAAATGCTCCTGACAGATAAAGTGCAAATTTGAAAAGTGATAGTTGCTTGAATTATTGCTGTTTTTGACATGTTTTTGTGAACCGATCTGAAAAATCTTTGAGAACCAACTATAACCTTTATATCTAAACCAAACTTAATTCATTTTTTAAATTATTTTTTTTAAGTGTATCGGTTCTTAACCTCAATTTATTTTTTCTGTTACCAGGAGTATAAATGGGGGGAAATTTTGCCTTTAGAGTTAATGCAGTGAGTGGTCAGTCTAATGTTATATATCCTATTTCATTCTAAATCTATTTTCGGTCATAGCAATGCTATTGAAAATACTCTGATTCATCTGTTCTAACTACTGAACTGAAATCAATACAAGTTTTTTTTAAATTTTATTAGAATGTAAGACAAATCACTTCATGCTCTGACAAGAACATTTTACATTTGTCATTTTGACACTCTTACTCTTAGGAAATAGAGCAGTAAATAAGAAGTAGATAATTTGAGGAAGGACTAAGCGGGGGCGGTCCGCCCCTGGTGCCACCTGGTAGGGGGGTTCCATGTTCCTGGACTGAGGGCTAATGGGGTATGTGTGAGCTGCGCCCCATGGCAGCTGGAGTGTCGCACAGCTCACACGGAGAGACCAGAAAGCTGAACTGGCCACACAGAATGAAGAAGGGGCGGAGCTATGACTATTTGGGGCAGAGCCAATCTGAAGCGGGGCTTAAAACAGCCCTAACCAACTGCTGTTACTGCTGCACATGGAGGTGCAGCAAGAAGAAATCCCTGCTCCTCCACCTAACCGGCTCCAGCCAGGGAAGGACTTCAATGAATCCACTCCCCCAGCCCACACTGTCTGTAAGTAAGAGAGAGAGTGTGTGTGTGTGTGTGTAACTGTCTGCCTGTGAGTGTGTGTGTGTGTGTAACTGTCTGCCTGTAACTGTGTTTGTGTGTCTGTGTGTGTATGTGTGTGTGTGTAACTATCTGCCTGTAACTGTATGTGCGTGTGTGACAGTCTGCCTGTGACTGTGTGATGCTGCCTGTAACTGTGTGTGTGACTGCCTGTGACTGTGTTTACCTGTCGGACTGTGACTGTGTGTGACAGTCTGCCTGTGACCAAACTTCCGGAATAAAAGGGAATCATGACATGTCACACATGTCATGTGGACACATGACATGTGTGACATGTCATGATTCCCTTTTTTTTTAAGGGGTTAAAGGGATAATGTAGGCACCCAGACCACTTCAGCTCATCAAAGTGGTCTGGGTGCAAACTTCCATCACCCTTAACCCTGAGCATGTAATTATTGCAATAATTACCTGCTAGGGTTAAGTTCTCCTCTAGTGGCTGTCTACCAGGCAGCCACTAGAGGGACTTCCGGGTTCTTAGATGACTTTTCAATGGAGATACTGCCAACACCTGGACTGTTGGTGGTCCATGAGGACTGGGTTGGGGAACACTGGTCTAAATGATGCTAGACATCCTCAAACTGTGCATGAGGACTTCCAGCGTCATGGGAATCTCAATAGGAAAGCATTGAATAATGCGAGCACGGCCATTGCCGCGCATGCACATTAGGTCTCCCCAGCCGGCAGACTTCGGCGGGGGAGGAGCATGGGCGGGTAATTGACAGCTGCTCCTCTCCTCAGGCCACACGGGCAGAACGCTCCACGTGGCTTTGCGGCCTGAATAGTAATATACCCACCGTTGGTCCCATGAATGGTTCCCTCTGCTTGTTTGCGGGTCAAACTGCAGGTCCTAATAAAATAAATTATTGCCATGACGTTATGCCCTTAAAGGACCGCATCTAGGAAACCCTATGCTGTTTAGGGTCTCAGAAATGATGTGGACCAATGGGAACTCTTTTGAACCTATTTAAGGTCGGTTCTAGTCCTTACTCATTGACCTATTGTGGTTTCTGTTCTTATACAAGTTTGTGCTATATAGAAGTCTCTCTTGTTGTATTCCTGTTATTGACCTCGGCTTGTATTTGACTTTTGATTTCTGGTATCCTGACATCGGCTTTGTATTTTTTTTTAATTCTTTATTTTATTTGTGTATATGGTTAACAAGCATGTTTGCTGTGCCACAATAGCTGATGCAAACTGGACTGTATACATAAGAAAACATGAATATGGCATTAAAGGCATTGCACATTTTTAAAGTAAGTAATCAGGATGCAAAAGTTAAATCAATGCTTCAGTTACCAAATGCTATTTCAGATATACATTCCGACTTTACTGTAAGGTTGTAGGGTCACAGGCTTAGTTAAAATAGCTGAGAGATTAAGTCTGACGAGCAATTTATAAACAAAACGCTAGAACTTAAGAGTGATAGAGGTTAAACATGTTGAACCTTTAACAAATTATAATCATGTGGGTGTTACTCGCCCATTAGGCAGCCTGGTAGCTGCTGGGACCTAGGTCAGTCATGACATTACAGTGTGGCAAGGTAATAAGATGGTGTCCATTAATAGCATTGGAGACTCAGATGTTAGGTGCTTAGTCCAATGCAGGGGCAGAGTATGTTAAGCATAGGTTCATATCCATGGGTGTTAGCTCGTTACATTTGTCCGTCAGGCTATGTGGGTTCTGCCGGGTCGTCTGTGTCGATTTCATCACTGGAGCTGGCCAGCAGGCAGACCGGGGAGGTGTACAGTCGTGTTGCAGTGGGCTTGTTTCTCGTGAGGTAATGCTTTTCGGCATGGTGTGAGGTTGTACCTCGCGTGGATACATCGTGGTGCTGGGCGGTGAGTGGGTCTCGTGGGCTTAGTGATCTCAATCTGATGTGTGTGGGGTCGAATGCCAGCACCCGAGGGGGATGTTGCCGTTTCTCGCCAGTGTGTTCCCTGGTTCTGTCTCTGGCCAAGGGCCGCACTGTGGGCTTGTGGTAGGTATCTGCCCAGGTGGCGCTGAGTTGCCATTACCGGCCTGTAATGTGGAGCTTTGTCCTCAGGCTGTGTCTTAGTCGGGCAAAGAATTCTAGGGTGTTGTTGGGTGGCTTAGCGAGGGTGCTTTTTGGCGCCTGGCACTGCTGTGTCGCCATCTTGCTTGGGTCCCCTCCGTCCCCTCCGTCCCCTTGGGTTGTGGGTTTAGTCACTTTTAGAGGTCGCTTTGTGGGGGTAATCGTCCCCTGCGAGGACCGGGATATCCCCCGCCGGTCCCGAGGGGGGTAGCACGGCAGTATTCGATGCTCGCTTGTGATTGGGTCTCGCGCCCGGAGGTCGGCCGTCTCCTCCAGGTCCCGGGCACCGCTCCAATGTAGGCCGCATTGCTGGTTTGTGTGTCCATAGCGTATAGTGGTGCATGGTGGGCATCGTTCGAGTCCCCTTGTGGTCCTGCAACGATTTTAGGGCCCCGTGAGCTGCTGGCATGGGTGGTTTAGGCAGGATTGTCGTTTGTTTCTCGACTTTGTATTTTGACTTGCGATTTTCGTATCCTGACCTGGCTTCATATTTGACTTGTGATTTCTGGTATGTTGACTCGGCTTCGTATTTGACTTGTGATTTCCTGGATTCCTGACCTTGGCTTATCCTGACCTTGTTTCTCGCTATGTTAATATGTTAAGTTCTGCCACTCTAAGGCTCTGTAATACGTCTTTCGGAGCCATATTTTGTGGGTTTACACTCTTTCTGCATGTTGGGTTACGACTCCCGTGCCAGCAGGATGTGACACTGTTAACTCAGTCCCACCTCCCACTGTGCTGGATATGCATCTTACAATGTCTTGCTAGGTACATTTCCTTATCCCATCAGACATCCTGGCAGCTAGCTGGGGCCATCTGAGTAACTAAACTAAGAGTAACTAAACACATTACACATGCACTATTATTATTACTAGCATTTATATAGCACCAACTGATAACGTAGCACTTTACAATAACTAGCATAGCTGTCCCATTTCTACATGTTACAATAAGTTAAAATAAGGTAGATCTACAATGTAACACTGTCCTGAGATCTTCATACATCTGCCCTGCTTCTGCGAGCCTGACTAGTGGCATTATGAACGACATACACTCTAGTTCTGTCCTGAACTCATTACATCTCTTGTGATGATAGCAAAATGGCACTGTGAGTTCTCAAATGAGGAAAGGAAAATAGGCAAATGGCCATTCGTCACAGACTTGGTCTGAAATATTTTCAGATACATTTGTTTTAATGACGATAGAAAATTAGGTAGTTATCTATTAAAGCAACTCTGGCACAAAAAAGAAACATAGTTTAAACTGCTTATTTTAAGCTCCCTGTGTCTGAATTCCTTTTTAATTATTTCCTGAGCTCTCTAGTTTTTACTGTAGGCACCCAGACCACTTCAGCTCATTGAAGTGGT